ATATAAATAACTATATTGTCATAAATTAAGAATACTCACAAATAGTTTCTAAATTCCAAATAAACCAGGTAAAGAGAAAGATAACTATTTTAAATTTTGCTGACAAAAGTATACTTTACCCAATTTGTTATAGGCTATGAATAGCTAAAACAAAAAGTTTTTTGACTCTGAAAACAAAATATTAAAAGGATTAGCAATGTTTTTTTAAAAAAGGCTGTGAAAAAATAAGTTTAGTTTTTATTAGTTTAGTTCAATGTAATTAACCTTGTTCTGCTTGATGTTGAGTTAGTAATCTTTATAAACACATCAGCCTTTTAGTTAGAGTCCTGGAAGTTCTTTCCTAGTCTTTTGGTATTACAGCTAAAGTTATCAGAAATCTGCATTTAAAAGTCTGTGGCAGAGCCTTTTCTATGATTTTTTAAAAAGAAGCACATTTTGGACTGTAGCTGATCATAAACCACTTTTTGAGGAGAATCAAAGTAAAACAGTAATTGTGGATAGGAAAGACAACATTCATGGTTAAAGACACAATTGTCAAGGAAATTTGATTGTTTTTGTGGCATACTGCAATTAAGCATAATAATCAGAATTATTCCTGATGACAAATACTAAGACATTTCAGAATTTTAGGAATCTTAAACAACTTTGAAACATGTATTAATAGCACACATATATAAATATAACCCAGAGAAAGTTAAACAGCATTTTTTTTTTTTTTTTTTTTTGAGACAGAGTCTTGCTCTCTCACCCAGGCTAGAGTGCAGTGGCACAATCTTAGCTCACTGCAACCTCTGCCTCCCAGGTGCAAGCAATTCTCCTGACTCAACCTCCCCCCATAGTTTGGATTACAGATGTGCACCACCACACCTGGCTAATTTTTGTATTTTTAGTAGAGATTGGGTTTCAGCATGTTGGTCAGTCTGGTCTCAAACTCCTGACCCCAAGTCATCCACCCACCTCGGCCTCCCAAAATGCTGGGATTACAGCTGTGAGCCACTGTGCCTGGCCACTTGTGTGATTTAACATACCAAATAAGCTTAATATGTCTCTCTTGGACTTCCAGAGGCCCTAATATCCAAAAAGTTGGTTTGAGGTCAAAAAGATCGAATTTAGAATTCACTGCTGCAAGGAGGTGGGGCTGGAGATATGCTCTCTAAAAACTCTTAAACAACAGATTTGATGAGCTTCTAGGTTGGCAAACACATCAAGATGCTGGAAGGGTGGTGTGCCAGGAGAGGGCATGTAAGCCTCACATTCCTTTCTCATACATTGCCCTGTGTACCTCTTCATCTTGCTGGTAAGTGTTGTTTCCTTGAGTTCTGTGAGATGTTATTGCAAAATATTAAGCTGGAGGAGAGGGTCATGGGAGCCTTTGATTTGTAGCCAAATTAGACAGAAAAGTGGATAACCTGGAGACCCACTATTTGCAATTGGCATCTAAAGTTGGGGAGGTGCAGTTTTGTGAGACTGAGCCCTTAACCTGAGGGGTCTATGCTAACTCCAAGTAGTTAGCATCAGAATTGAATTAAATTGTAGAATACTCAGCTAGTGTATGGAGAATTGGAGAATTGTTGGTTGGCATTGGAAAACACCCTAGACACCTCTCTGTTAGTAGCTTCTATTTATGAAACACTGAAGTCCTATGAGAGAAGTACCATTATTGTAATATCATTTTTGCTTTTAAATTATGTAGCAAGATATACTTTCTGTTGATGTATATAGTTCTGTGAATTTTAATACATGTAGATTCATGTGAATACCACTACAATCAGGGTATAAAAGAATTCCTTCACCCCCCTTCCCCCAAACCTCCCTGTGTTATCCTTTTGTAGTCCCATCCTCCCTCCCATGCCCCAACCCCAGGCAACCGTTGATCTTGTCACTATAGTTCTGTCCTTTGTGGAATGTCATAGAATATGTAACCTTTTGAGTCTGGCTTTTGTCATTCAACATAACGCTTTTGAGATTTTTTTAAGTTGCTGCATGCATCAATAATTTATTCCTTTTTATTGCTGCATAGTTTTCGATTGGATTGCTGTACCAGTTTGTCTATCTCTTCACTTGCTGAAGGACATTTGGGTTGTTTCCAATTTTTGGTGGTTACGAATAGGGCCGCTATAAACATTCATGGATTTTATTTGTTTGTTTTGTTTTTTGTTTTTTGAGATAGAGTCTTGCTCTGTTGCCCAGGCTGGAGTGCAGTTTGGCTCACTGCAACCTCTGCCTCCCGAATTCAAGCAATTCTCCTGCCTCAGCCTCCTGAGTAGAGTACCTTGGACGACAGGCATGTGCCACCACACCCGGCTAATTTTTGTACTTTTTTCTTTTTTTTTTTTAGTAGTAGAGATGGGGTTTCACCATGTTAGCCAGGCTCGTCTCAAACTCCTGACCTCAAGTGATCCGCCCACCTTGGCCTCCCAAAGTGTTGGGATTACAGACGAACCACCATGCCCGGCCAAATAATTTTTATTATTATTTTTTTTCTGATACAGAGTCTCGCTCTGTCACCCAGGCTGGAGTGTAGTTGCACGATCTCAGCTCTCTGCAACCTCTGCCTCCCGGGTTCAAGCGATTCTCTTGCCTCAGCCTCCTGAGTAGCTGGGATTACAGGCGTGTGCCACCACACCCGGCAAATTTTTGTATTTTTAGTAGAGATGGGGTTTCATCATGTTGGTCAGGCTGGTCTCGAACTCCTGACCTCATGATCTACCCACCTCAGCCTCCCAAAGTGCTGGGATTACAGGCGTGAGCCTCGTGCCTGGCCACCAGATGATTTTTTTAATAAACATAAGATTTCATTTCTTGAGGGTAAATATCTAGGATTTGGGTGCGGGACCATTTGGCACATATTTAATTTTATAAGAAACCAGCGAACTGCTTTCTGGCATGGCTGACCATTTGGCATTTCCAGCAGCAGTAGCTGAGCCTTCTAGTTGCCCTGCAGCCTCCCCAGTATTTGCCTTTGTCAGTTATTTTAGCCATTCTAATAGGTGGAATCTCATGGTGGCTTTAACTTGCATTTCCTTAACAGTTGCTAATGTCGAACATCTTTTCGTGTGCTTATTGGCTGGCTGTATATTCACCTTGGTGAAGTATCTGTTCAAATCTTTTGCTCATTTTGTTGTTGTCAGTCAGGATTGTTTGTTTTCTTGATGTTGAGTTTTGGGAGTTTTTTATTCTTGATACCAATTCTTTGGCAGATATGTTGTTTACAGATACTTTCTCCCACTCTGTAGCCAATATTTTCATTCTCTTGACAATGTCTGTCACAGAGCAAACATGCATTTTTAATTTTCATTAGGTCCAATTTATCAACGGGAGATAAATTTTCCTGCTAATGACCATGCTTTTTGTGTCATCTCTATGCACTCCCTGCCTAACTGTAGATCACAAAAGTTTTTCTCCCATATGTTCTTAAAACTATAATTTTAGGTTTTGCAAACAAACCTATGATCCATTTTGAATTAATTTTTGTATAGGCTGTATAGTTTAGGTTGTAATACAGGTTGTGCAGTTTAGGTTGTAATAGAGGTTGTGCAGTTTAGGTTGTAATAGAAGTTGTGCAGTTTAGGTTGTCATAGAGGCTGTGTAGTTCAGGTTGTAATACAGGCTGTGTAGTTTAGGTTGTAATACAGGCCGTGTAGTTTAGGTTGTAATACAGGCTGTGTAGTTTAGGTTGTAATACAGGCTGTGTAGTTTAGGTTGTAATATAGGTTGTGCAGTTTAGGTTGAGGCTCATTTTTTTTGCAAATGGATAATTTTTCCAGCACCATTTATTGAAAAGTTTATCATTCTCCATTGAATTGCCTTCATACCTTTGTGAGAAAGCAATTGGTCATATTTTGTGTGGGTGTGTTTCTGGACTCTCTATTCTGTTCCATTGATTTATATTTCTGTCCCCCAACCAGTACTACACCGTCTAGATTAATGGAGATTTATAATGTCTTAAAATTCAGTAGTCTTAAAATTGGTATTGCTTCTATTTTATTATTTTTCAAAATTGTTTTATATTCGCGTTCCTTTGCCTTTCCCATATTTCATTTTATTTTTAATGATGTTATAATTTTTTATTCATTTTATTTTTTTAGAGATGAGGTCTTGCTCTGTTGCTTAGACTAGAATTCAGAGGTGCGATCATAGCTCACAGCAATCTCAAATTCCAGGGCTCAAGTGATCCTCTTGCTTCAGCCTCTCCCCCCTCCCTTTAAAAAAAAAAAGAATCAGCTTGTATATATTATCAATAATCCCTCTGGGATTTTTACTGCAATAATGTTAAATCTATAGACAAATATGAAGAGAATTGACTTCTTTACTATATTGGGTCTTCTAATCCATAAAGATGGTATATCAGTCTCTCCATCTATTTAGATTTCTTTTGGAGTTGCTTTCTTTTAACACTTTAAATTCCTCACTCCACTTTCTTCTTGTTTGCCTAATTTCTGACAAGATATCAGCTATAGGCCGGGCGCAGTGGCTCATGCCTGTAATCCCTGCACTTTGGCGGATCACGAGGTCAGGAGATCGAGACCATCCTGGCTAACACGGTGAAACCCCGTCTCTACTAAAATACAAAAAATTAGCTGGGCGCAGTGGCGGGTGCCTGTAGTCCCAGCTACTCGGGAGGCTGAGGCAGGAGAATGGCGCAAACCCGGGAGGCGGAGCTTGCAGTGAGCCGAGATCGCACCACTGCACTCCAGCCTGGGCAACAGAGTGCAGACTCTGCCTCAAAAAAAAAAAAAAAAAAAAGATATCAGCTATAATTTTATCCTTGTTCCCCTATAGTTAGGTGTTCTCTCACCCACTCCCCAGCTTCTTTTAAGAGTTTTCTGTCATTGGACTGTTGTCTGTCATTAGTTTGGAAGATTCTCGGCCGTTATTATAATATGTATTATTTTTTGCAGTCAAAACAATTTTTAAAGAAACGTACTATAAACAAGTCATTGTCTGCCCAGCTGTGTTCAAACCATTACACAACTTTTTTGTTTTTCTACCATTCACAGTGACCTACTGATAGAGAATACTTCACTCACTGTCCCAATCCTCCAGCCTCCGCCTTGACCCAAACTTCCTATTGAAGGTAGGAAAGACTCAGCTTTCCAGAAGCAGAGCCCACTTTCCAACCTCCCGGAACAGGTGCTAGTTGTTGTCTTGGGAGAAATCTTGTGTAATGAATATTTCATTTTGAAACCATAGTGAATCATATTTGATATCTCTCTTTTTTTATTTTTCTCAATGAGTTTCAGATGCTATTCTATGATAGATTCACAGGTCTGTTTTTAAGCAGTAAGTTTTGAGTGGAAATCTTCTATATTGTCTGAATTGTACCTACTTCCCATAGGAATAATACTTTTTCTGCCTTACTATAGCCAATTGAGAATTTAGGCTCTAAATGTAAGATAATAGCTCTGTTTCACATTTATTGTCTGTCTGTTTTTGATGAAGCTGTGGTATGAACAATTAAAAGATGGTAATTTGGGGAAAAATATAGAGGTTTTTTTTTTCCTAAATTACAAGTGGGAAAATTGAGTGAGAGAAGTGATTTTTTTCTAATTTTACCTAACAGTTCAGTACAAGTTGAGGTATATCAATATGAAAATGTATTAAGTTTTTGTGCTTTTAATTTTTAGGTTCGCCAGTGATGGATAAGTTGTCATCTATTAGATTGGAGGATTTACCTGTGACAATAAGTTCATTCTTCATTCCCATCACACCTAGATAAAGGGACTTAAATTAATAAATCCCAATTGCTCTTCTCTGTCCCCTGACTAACCGAGAATACTGACTAACCCAGATAGCATTCAGCGAAGAGAATGGAGCTATTCAACAGATTCATTACTCTATATAAGCTGCTATAAGTTACATTTAACTCTTTCTGTGTAGTACTTCACAGAATTGTGAAATTTTGGGTCTGACATTCTATGACATTGCATTAGCTATTCTAATCAACGCTATTTTTCAGAATGTCTTGTCCAACGTTTAAAATTTTTTCTTCCTCAGTCTTTCAGGAGATTGTCATGGCTGAGAGACTGGGCTGTACCTACCCACTAGGAATGAACAGAAAACCATAGCTAATATTTACTTTCTGCAGGTAATTTCTGAGCTTCGGGAGAAGTTGGATCTGCAACATTGTGTTTTGCCATCACGGTTGCAGGCTTCCCAAGTAAAGTTGAAAAGTAAAGGACGAGCAAGGTAAAGAGCAAGGTAAAGAGCAAGGTGGAAAAAGAGCCACCTTTTTCTCACACAGGATGTCACAATTTTCTGACATCCCAAAGTCAGAGTTAGAGCTTAATACTTACAACTACAAATAATGGTACTATTATGACATTTACATCTAGTATTGTACAGTGTTTCAAATTACATATATGTGTGTGAGTATGTATGTGTTTATATGTTTTCTTAGCCATTCAGATCAATCCCAGACAGACTACAGTGCAAGTTTATTAGCCATCTTATATGTGAGGTTGTCATTTCCTCCAGGGGTACATGGCTACTAAGCAGGAACTCAGATCTTGTAAGTTCTTTTCTGGTAGGTAAGAGTAATTTTTTTTCCTCTCTGCTACTTGTAGTTCCTCAGGAAATCAAGAAAGCAGCATCAGAGCTGTGTTATTCTCCTCTTTGATGTAATAAAGTCAGCTATTAGATATGAGAAAACCATTTCAGAAGCCTGGATTAAGGTGGGATCTTTGGAACTTTGATTATCAAGGAGGAAATGAGTGGCAATTAGTGACAGATGTATAACTGAGGTAGATTGAAAAAAAAATCTCAAAAGTCATTCAAGTGGAAATGATAGCTGATGGCTGCCATATGGACACATTGGCTCTTGGATGATATAACAGGGCATGCTGAGTAAGGTGAAACGTGTTTCACTGATGTGTCGTAATGTTTTTGTGACTGTCTCTTGTTTTTTCAGGCAATTGAAAACACTGCCTCAGTGTCTGAACACAAGGTAATGTTCATGTACTATGCATTTTCAGTATTGCAGATGTAAAAGTAATGACGTTGGCTAGCTTGCCTTCCCGCTTTCTTTCTTTCCCCTCCTTCCAGTCACTCTTTTCTTCTCTTCTCTAGTTGCTCTAATAAACATTAGCTGTCTGGGGAAGATAATCTGAGGGGGCGACTGGCCAGATATCCTGCCCCTACTCACTCTGGCTATAAAATAAGTCTACAGTATCCATAAGGGGAAATACTAACAGTGTAACCAAGCATATCAAGATGCAGTCAAAGAAGCCAAGTCCCCACCGATGAGATGAAGAAAATAACCACCTGAGTCTCAGGTCCCTGTATCTGCCTAATTGCCCTTCCTTCCACCCAGCACCACTGTCAAGATAATGGCATTCCATGTTTTATTTTACTTTGCCCATGTAGACCTGACTGGAGTAAATCAGTCTGTCCACTGTCAAGGCAATGGTACTGATCTTATGTCTCTATTAATTCTAGAAATATCTTCCATCAAAAAGCCTGATGATTGGCCGGGCACAGTGGCTCATGCCTATAATCCCAGCATTTTGGGAGGCTGAGGCAGGCGGATTGTCTGAGGTCAGGAGTTTGAGACCAGCCTGGCCAATGTAGCAAAAACCCGTCTCTACTAAAAATACAAAAAAAAAAAAAAAAAAAAAAAAGCCTGGCCTAGTGGCATGCACCACTGCACTCCAGCCTGGGCGACAGTGCAAGACTCCATCTCAAAAAATAAAAAGCCAGATGATTGAGTACCTTAGGTGCTGATTGGTTGCCTTTAAAGATTTTTCTTTGGTTGGAATCTGTTTTGTGGGATTTTTGTTGTGTTAGCCAATTTTTGGATGACTATCTTAAAAGCTTTCATGATGCCAAATAAAGCGATGAAAATTCGTAATTTTTTATGGTGAAAAATATCAAAATACTCCAACACACTGTTTTTGGTTTTGGATAAACATAAATTTACCACCTTGGCTACCTGCATACCTATTTTTACATATTCGTAATCATTGTATAAATATAATTTGTATTCTTTTTTCTCTTAACATTTTTTCTTCTCCATGTACTTCTTCATTGTCTTCATTGCTATCTTTAATGACTGTATTCTAGTCTAATGACTCTCAATTTTGGTGTTCTAAGGGGTAGGGCATTCAGTTAAGAGAAGTAGTAAAATTTGTTTTTTTTTTTTCTTTTGTGTCCTGCTTGCCTTTTTGTTTTTGTTTTTTTTTTTGACAAGAGAAAACCACAGGTGAATATTTATGCAAACACAGACTAAGAAAATAATTTCTATAAAATATAAAAGAAAAAAATTATGTTAGAGAATGTTGATAAATATGACCATATAAAATTTATGGTTACAAAGATGAGTTGAATTGACCAATTAGCTTCTTGGAAAATATGAAAACTTGAATGCTTCTTGAAAGCACTAGAAAAAGGTCTGGTCTGTGATCTATTTTTTAAAGAGAATTCCCAGAATAAAAGGAATATACCTTTTTTATTATTATTATACTGTAAGTTCTAGAGTACATGTGCACAATGTGCTGGTTTGATACATAGGTATACATGTGCCATGTTGGTTTGCTGCACCCATCAACTCATCATTTATGTTAGATATTTCTCCTAATTCTATCCCCTTCCCCAGCCCCTGCCCCCTGGCAGGCCCCGATGTGTAATGTTCCCTGTCCTGTGTCCTAGTATTCTCATTGTTCAGTTCCAGCCTATGAGTGAGAACATGTGGTGTTTGGTTTTCTGTCCTTGTGATAGTTTGCTCAGAATGGTGGATTCCAGCTTCATCCATGTCCTTCCAAAGGACATGAACTTATCCTTTTTTATGGCTGCATAGTATTCCATGGTGTATATGTGCCACATTTTCTTAATCCAGTCTATCACTGATGGACATTTGGGTTGGTTCCAAGTCTTTGCTATTGTGAATAGTGCCGCAATAAACATACATGTGCATGTGTCTTTATAGTAGCATTATTTATAATCTTTTGGGTATATACCCAGTAATGGGATCTCTGGGTCAAATGGTATTTCTAGTTCTAGATCCTTGAGGAATCGCCACACTGTCTTCTGCAATGGTTGAACTAATTTACACTTCCACCAACAGTGTAAAAGCGTTCGTATTTCTCCACATCCTCTCCAGCATCTGTTGTTTCCTGACTTTTTTAATGATTGACATTCTAACTGGTGTGAGATGGTATCTCATTGTGGTTTTGATTTGCATTTCCCTGATGACCAGTGATGTTGAGCATTTTTTCATGTGGTTAGCTGCATAAGTGTCTTCTTTTGAGGAGTGTCTGTTCATATCCTTTGCCTATTTTTTGATGGGGTTGTTTGATTTTTTCTTGTGAATTTGTTTGAGTTCTTTGTAGATTCTGGGTATTAGCCCTTTGTCAGATGGGTAGATTGTAAAAATTTTCTCCCATTCTGTAGGTTGCCTGTTCACTCTGATGGTAGTTTCTTTTGCCGTGCAGAAGCTCTTTGGTTTAATTAGATCCTGTTTGTCTATTTAGACTTTTGTTGCCATTGCTTTTGGTATTTCAGTCATGAAGTCATTGCCCATGCCTATGTCCTGAATGGTATTGCCTAGGTTTTCTTCTAGGGTTTTTATGGTTTTAGGTCTAACATTTAAGTCTTTAATCCATCTTGAATTAATTTTTGTATAAGGTGTAAGGAAGGGATCCAATTTCAGCTTTCTACATATGGCTAGCCAGTTTTCCCAGCACTATTTATTAAATAGGGACTCCTTTCCCCATTTCTTGTTTTTGTCAGGTTTGTCAAAGATCAGATGGTTGTAGACGTGTGGCGTTATTTCTGAGGGTTCTGTTCTGTTCCATTGGTCTATATCTCTGTTTTGGTACCAGTACCATGCTGTTTTGGTTACTGTAGACTTGTAGTATAGTTTGAAGTCAGGTAGCGTGATGCCTCCAGATTTGTTCTTTTTGTTTAGGATTTTCTTGGCAATGTGGGCTCTTGTTTGGTTCCATATGAACTTTAAAGTAGTTTTTTCCAATTCTGTGAAGAAAGTAATAGGTAGCTCGATGGGGATGGCATTGAGTCTATAAATTACCTTGGGCAGTATGACCATTTTCATGATATTGATTCTTCGTATCCATGAGCATGGAATGTTCTTCCATTTGTTTGTGTCCTCTTTTATTTTGTTGAGCAGTGGTTTGTAGTTCTCCTTGAAGAGGTCCTTCACATCCCTTGTAAGTTGGATTCCTAGGTATTTTATTCTCTTTGTAGCAATTTTGAATGGGAGTTCACTCATGATTTGGCTTTGTCTGTTATTGGTATATAGGAATGCTTGTGATTTTTGCACATTGATTTTGTATCCTGAGACTTTGCTGAAGTTGCTTATCAGCTTAAGGAGATTTTGGGCTGAGATGATGGGGTTTTCTAAATATACAGTCATGTCATCTGCAAACAGGGACAATTTGACTTCCTCTTTTTCTAATTGAATACCTTTTTTTTCTTTCTCTTGCCTAATTGCCCTGGTCAGAACCTCCAACACTATGTTGAATAGGAGTGGTGAGAGAGGGCATCCCTGTCTTGTGCTGGTTTTCAAAGGGAATGCTTCCAGTTTTTGCCCATTCAGTATGATATTGGCTGTGGGTTTGTCATAAATAGCTCTTATTATTTTGAGATACGTCCCATCAATACCTAGTTTATTGAGCATTTTTAGCATGAAGGGCTGCTGAATTTTGTCAAAGGCCTTTTCCGCATCTATTGGGATAATCATGCAGTTTTTGTCATTGGTTCTGTTTATCTGATGGATTACGTTTATTGATTTGCGTGTGTTGAACCAGCCTTCCATCCCAGGGATGAAGCTGACTTGATCGTGGTGGGTAAGCTTTTAGATGTGCTGCTGGATTTGGTTTGCCAGTATTTTACTGAGGATTTTTGCATCAATGTTCATCAGGGATATTGGTCTAAAATTCTCTTTTTTTGTGTGTGTCTCTGCTAGGATTTGGTATCAGGATGACGCTGGCCTTATAAAATGAGTTAGGGAGGATTCCATCTTTTTCTATTGATTGGAATAGTTTCAGAAGGAATGGTAGCAGCTCCTCTTTGTACCCCTGGTAGAATTCAGCTGTGAATCCTTCTGGTCCTGGACTTTTTTTTGGTTGGTAGGCTATTAATTATTGCCTCAATTTTAGAGCCTGCTATTGGTCTATTCAGAGATTCAACTTCTTCCTGGTTTATTCTTGAGAGGGTATATGTGTCCAGGAATTTATCCATTTCTTCTACATTTTCTAGTTTATTTGCCTAGAGGTGTTTATAGTATTCTCTGATGGTAGTTTGTATTTCTGTATGATCAGTGGTGATATCCCTTTTATTATTTTTTTATTGGGTCTACTTGATTCTTCTCTCTTTTCTTCTTTATTAGTCTCACTAGCAGTCTATCAATTTTGTTCATCTTTTCAAAAATCCAGCTCCTGGATTCATTGATTTTTTGAAGGGTTTTTTGTGTCTCTATCTCCTTTAGTTCTTCCCTGATGTTAGTTATTTCTTGCCTTCTGCTAGCTTTTGAATTTGTTTGCTCTTGCTTCTCTAGTTCTTTTAATTGTGATATTAGGGTGTTGATTTTAGACCTTTCCTGACTTTTCTTGTGGGCATTTAGTGCTATAAATTTTCCTCTACACACTGCTTTAAATGTGTCCCAGAGATTCTGGTATGTTGTGTTTTTGTTCTCATTGGTGTCAAGGAACATCTTTATTTCTGCCTTCATTTTGTTATTTACCCAGTAGTAATTCAGGAGCAGGTTGTTCAGTTTCCATGTAGTTGTGTGGTTTTGAGTGAGTTTCTTAATCCTGAGTTCTAATTTGATTGCACTGTGGTCTGAGAGACAGTTTGTTGTGGTTTATGTTCTTTTACATTTGCTGAGGAGTGTTTTACTACCAATTATGTGGTCAATTTTAGAATAAGTGCTATGTGGTGCTGAGAAGAATGTATATTCTGTTGATTTTTGGGATAGAGAGTTCTGTAGATGTCTATTAGGTCTGCTTGGTGCAGAGCTGAGTTCAGGTCCTGGATATCCTTGTTAACCTTTTGTCTCATTGATCTGTCTAATATTGACAGTGGGGTGTTAAAGTTTCCCATTCTTATTGTGTAGGAGTCAAAGTCTCTTTGTAGGTCTCTAAGGACTTGCTTTATGAATCTGGGTGCTCCTGTATTGGGTGCATATATATCTAGGATAGTTAGCTCTTCTTGTTGATTGATCCCTTTACCATTATGTAATGGCCTTCTGTGTCTCTTTTGATCTTTGTTGGTTTAAAGTCTGTTTTATCAGAGACTAGAATTGCAACTCCTGCTTTTTTGTTTTGTTTTGTTTTCCATTTGCTTGGTAGATCTTCCTCCATCCTTTTATTTTGAGCCAGTGTGTGTCTCTGCATGTGAGATGGGTCTCCTGAATACAGCACACTGATGGGTCGTGACTTTTTTTTTTTTTTATTCATTCAAATATTTATTGAGCAGCTGAGGAGATACAAAGGTGATTTAAAACATTGTCAGAGGTGAGGCAAATGCACAAGTAATAGAAAGCAAAGGGCAAGCTTCACTGTATCACAGCAGTCAGAAGAAAGTGCTTTAGGGAACCAAGAGTGAGATTGTTTCCAGCCTGAAGAGGCATGGGTGGCAAATCAGAAAAGGGGATTGAGATTTAAATAGAAGACTTCAGTCTGGATTGTTGATGACACTCAGTATGGACTATATTTGTCTCTCCTTTTCCTTTCTCCTCATCTTTGGGCTTAATTTACATGTAGTGCCCAGAGCTGTTCAATGCACTTTTTCTATACTTGCTTGCATTTTTGCTTTAATGTCTTCTACGGAACTGGTTCCTTTGGTGTTTTAGGAGTTTTTTCCTGTTTTTTGAAGGATTCTTGTCCTTTTGATCTTGGTGTTGATGATGTTTTTGAGTCTTTTCCATTCTGATTTGACTTTTGTGGATTTTTGGCTGGAGTATCTTGTATAGATTTCTTCACTGGGGCTTTTTCTTCAGCTTCCTCATCATCAAAATCATCATCATCGTCATCTTCATCATCATCATCATCTTTATCAGCAGCAAGTTTTACTCTTTTCTGTGGAATCTTGCTACCACCTCCAGGGGCAGACTGCTTTCCAGATATACTTAAGAGTTTCACATCCTCCTCCTCTTCATCTTCTGACTCTGAATCTTCCTCCACAGCTACTAAGTGCTGTCCACTAATATGCACTGGCCCCGAACCACACTTCAACCTTAAGTCCACTGGTGGTGTTATTTCAAAGCCCCCAAGGGAAACCATTGGCTGTACAGACATTTTCAAAGTTGCCAGTGTTACTTTAATTGGACTGCCTTCATAATTCATTGCCTCTGTTTCAACAATGAGCAATTCATCCTTTGCACCAGCCCCTAAACTGACCATTCTTAAAGATAACTGGTGCTCATTTTCATCATTATCCACCTTAAAGTGATCGTCTTTGTCAGCCTTTAGTTCACAACTGAAAAGATAGTTCTGGGGCCTCATGGGGCTTATGTCCATGTCCATCAAATCTTCCATCAGGTGGCGGCACGCACTTAGGTGGGAGAGAAGGTGGACGGAGATAAACGAACACTGCTACAGAGAACAGCTGTGCAGGATGGAATCACACCCGGTCTTGACTCTATCCAATTTGCCAGTCTGTATCTTTTAATTGGGGCATTTAGCCCATTTACATTTATAGTTAATATTGTTATGTGTGAATTCGATGTTGTCATTATGATGTTAGCTGGTTATTTTGCCCATTAATTGATGCAGTTTCTTCATAGCATGGATGGTCTTTACAATTTGGCATGTTTTTGCAGTGGCTGGTACCACTTGTTCCTTTCCATGTTTAGTGTTTCCTTCAGGAGCTCTTGTATAGCAGGCCTGATGGTGACAAAATCTCTTAGCATTTGCTTGTCTGTAAAGGATTTTATTTCTCCTTCACTGATGAAGCTTAGTTTGGCTGGATATGAAATTCTGGGTTGAAAATTCTTTTCTTTAAGAATGTTGAATACTGGTCCCCACTCTCTTCTGGTTTGTAGTGTTTCTGTCAAGAGATCCGCTGTTAGTCTGATGGGCTTCCCTTTGTGGGTAACCCGACCTTTCTCTCTGGCTGCCCTTAACATTTTTTCCTTCATTTCAACCTTGGTAAATCTGACAATTAGGCATCTTGGAGTTGTTCTTCTTGAGGAGTATCTTTGTGGTGTTCTCTCTATTTCCTGAATTTGAATGTTGGCCTGTCTTGCTAGGTTGGGGAAGTTCTCCTGGATAATATCCTGAAGAGTGTTTTCCAACTTGGTTTCATTCTCCCTGTCACTTTCCTTTCAGGTACAACAATCAAACGTAGATTTGGTCTTTTCACATAGTCCCATATTTCTTGAAGGCTTTGTTCATTTCTTTTTACTCTTTTTTTCTCTAAACTTCTCTTCTTGCTTTATTTTATTAATTTGATCTTCAGTCACTGATACCCTTTCTTGCACTCAATCACATCAGCTATTGAAGCTTGTGCATGCGTCACCATGTTCTCGTGCCATGGTTTTCAGCTCCATCAGATCATATAAGGTCTTCTTCACACTGTTTATTCTAGTTAGCCATTTGTCTAACTGTTTTTCAAGGTTTTTAGCTTCCTTTGGATGGGTTCAAACATCTCCTTTAGCTAGGAGAAGTTTGTTATTACCGACCTTCTGAAGCCTACTTCTGTCAACTCGTCGAAGTCATTCTCCAACCAGCTTTGTTCAGTTGCTGGCGGGGAGCTGCAATCCTTTGGAGGAGAAGAGGCGCTCTGGTTTTTAGAATTTTCAGCTTTTCTGCTCTGGTTTCTCCCCATCTTTGTGGTTTTATCTACCTTTGGTCTTTGATATTGGTGACCTACAAATGGGGTTTTGGTGTAGATGTCCTTTTTGTTGACGTTGATCCTTTCTGTTTGTTAGTTTTCCTTTTAACAGTCGGGTCCCTCAGGTGCAGGTCTGTTGGAGTTTGCTGGAGGTCCATTCCATACCCTGTTTGCTTGGGTATCACCAGTGGAGGCTACACAACAGCAAATATTGCAGAACAGCAAATATTGCTGCCTGATCCTTCCTTTGGAAGCTTCATCCCAGATGGGCACCAGGCTATATGAGGAGTCTGTTGGCCCCTTCTGGGAGGTGTCTCCCAGTTAGGCTACACTGGGGTCAGGGACCCACTTGAGGAGGCAGTCTGTCCATTCGCAGAACTCAAACGCCATGCTGGGAGAACTACTGCTCTCTTCAGAGCTGTCAGACAGGGATGTTTAAGTCTGCAGAAGTTGTCTGCTGCCTTTTGTTCAGCTATGCACTGCCCACAGAGGTTGAGACTATAGAGGGCTAGGCCTTGCTCAGCTGTGGTGGGGTCCACCCAGTTTAAGCTTCCCAGCCGCTTTACCTACTCAAGCCTCAGCAATAGCAGACACCCCTCCCCTAGCCTGGCTGCCGCCTTGCAGTTTGATCTCAGACTGCTGTACTAGCAGTGAGCAAGGCCCATGGGCGTGGGACCTGCTAAGCTGGGCCCAGGAGAGAAGCTCTTTGTCTGCCAGTTGCTAAGACGTTGGGAAAAGCACAGTATTTGGGTGTGAGTTGCCTGATATTCCAGGTACAGTTTGTCATGGCTTCCCTTGGCTATTAAAGGGAAATCTCCAGACCCCTTGTGCTTCCTGGGTAAGGTGACGCCCCACCCTGCTTAGGCTCACCCTCTATGGGCTGCACCCACTGTCCAACCAGTCCCAATGAGATGAACCAGGTACCTCAGTTGGAAATGCAGAAATCACCCATCTTCTGCATCGATCACACTGGGAGCTGCAGACCGGAGCTGTTCCTATTCGGCCATCTTGGATAAAAGGCCCTGCTTGCCTTTTTAACTTTTTTGTTTGTTTGTTTGTTTTCCTAGAAGCATAGACTCAAGTTGCCCTGAATATACTCTCAACGTTTTCTCTTTGTTTTGTTTTGTTTTAAGAGACCAGGTCTTGCTCTGTCACCCAAGTTGGAGTACGGTGGCAGCACCATAGCTCACTGCAGCCTCAAACTCCTGGGTTCAGGTGATCCTCCCATCTCAATCTTCAGAGTAGCTGGGACTACAGGCAAGCATCACCAGGCCCTGCTAATTCTTTTTTTGTTTTGTTTTTTCTGAGACAGAGTTTTGCTCTTTCACCCAGGCTGGAGTGAAGTGGCACAATCTCAGCTCACTGCAACCTCTGTCCCCTGGGTTGAAGCAATTATCCTGCCTCAGCCTCCCTAGTAGCTGGGATTATAGGTGCCTGCCACCATGCCCAGCTAAGTTTTGTATTTTTAGTAGAGACAGGATTTTGCCATGTTGGCCAGGCAGGTCTTGAACTCCTGACCTCAGGTGATCCACCTGCCTTGGCCTCTCAGAGTGCTAGGATTACAGGTGTGAGCCACCACACCCAGCCAATTCTTTTATTTTTTATAGAGATGAGGTCTTGGTGTGTTGCCCAGGCTGGTCTCAAATTTTTAGCTTCAAGTGATCCTCCTGCTTGGACCTCCCAAAGTGCTGGGATTATAGGCTTGAGCCACCACACCCAGTCATCATATTTTTCTTTTTTAAATGTAGGTAAACAAGCTAATTGTGGAGAAAAACTCACAAGAAATCTACAGATGTAAAAAATACAGTTTTTCTCCACTCTCTGTCCCATTCCAGAGATAATCATCCTTCCAATATTTTCCTGTTCATGTACAAGCTATAATTATGCACAAGTACAGGTATACTCTTACGCCTACACATATGTAGGTTTATATATCGCTTTTACAAAAGCAGAATCTTAACTATGATTATGGGTGGTGGTGGTGTTGTTTAAAGAGACAGGGTCTCACTCTGTCACCAGGCTGGAGTGCAGTGGCACAATCATAGCTCACTGTTGCCTCCACCTCCTGGGCTCAACGATCCTCCCTCCTCAGCCTCCCAAAGCAGTGGTATTATAGGCATGAGCCACCATGCCTAGCCTGATTATCCTTTTGCAGGTTGCTGTTTTTTCCACTTCATGTCAGGAATGTCCTTTCTCTGTCAAAAAATATAGTATGTCTCAGCAGTTCCTAACCTTTTTGGCACCAGGGATTGGTTTCATGGAAGACAGTTTTTCCACAGACCATGTTGGGGCATGATTTCAGGATGACACTGTTCCACCTTAGATCATCAGGCACTACTTAAATTCTCGTAAGGAATGTGCAGCCTAGATCCTGTGCATGTGCAGTTCACAATAGGGTTCACACTCCCATGAGAATCTAATGCAGCCGCTATTCTGACAGGAGGTGGATCTCAGGTGGTAATGACCACTTGACTGCCACTCACCTCCTGCTGTGCAGCTTGGTTCCTAGCAGACCATGGACTCCGTGGTCCAGGGGTTGGGGACCTCTGGTCTAGCTTATTCTTTTTTTTTCAGTTTTGTAATTAAAAATTCTTTTTTAGGCAGAGTCTTGCTGTGTCACCTAGGCTAGAGTGCAATGGCACTATCTCGGCTCACTGCAACCTCTGCCTCCCAGGGTTCAAGTGATTCACCTGCCTCAGCCTTCTGAGTAGCTGGGATTACAGGCACCTGCCACCATGACCAGCTAATTTTTGTGTGTGTATTTTTAGTAGAAACGGGGTTTCACCATGTTGGCCAGACTGGTCTCAAACTCCTGACCTCAGGTGATATGCCCACATCAGCCTCCCAAAGTGCTGGGATTATAGGCATGAGCCACCATGCCCAGCGTGGCTTATTCTTTTTGATGACTGTGTAATATTCCAAAATTTAAAATTACTCCATTATAATTTATTGAACCTTTCCCGTATTGATGGGCATTTATAGTCTTTCCAACTTTTCACAAAGTAATTTTCCTAGTATTAGTGAAAATACATACTGGAGTTGGCAAGTGATTGAATCTTTCTTTTAATAAATGTGAAGATGTCCAAAGTTACTTCTGTAGTAATATCACTTTCATGTATATAGCAATGTATTCTTAAGAGATACCATTGGTTAATAGTTGTGGCACTTTATTGCTCTGAAAAATATTTCTGGATTTTGTGAAAAGTGTGGATAACCCCAAGGGAGTATGCGGAACAAATGAGTATCATCCATTCTGTGTTTTAATGGGCGAAAAGCTGCTGTTTCATTGAAGCAAATATACTGATTTGTTAACTGTTTTTTTTATTATTGCATATTTATTGACAATAGATTTTTGACCTGGTGATGCTTTTCATCATCTATAGCAGCAATACTCAGACAAAGAAGTATATTGAAAGGTGCTAAGAAATAAGATTCGATCAGGCTGCATTCAAGAACAGCTGCTCCAGAGTACATTCTCTGTTCATTACTTAGTAAGTGTCAGAGACTATTGATCTTTAATCTAAAACGGAAAGCTTTACAGCTCCCATGTAAAATTTCATCTTGTTTCAGTCCATTGTTCAAACCCATTGAGATTTTTGAATTTTATTTTTGCATTAATTATTTTAATTGTCTATCTCAATGCAGTTTGCAACTTTGCCAAACTGACCTTCCATATCCTATTCTAAGTAGCTTATAAAAACCTTGAAGGGAATAGGACCCGCCTATAGAAACTAGCAGAAACGTAATTATGAACCTACTTGAACTATCACTCTTTGACCATTCAAAACTGTGGACTTTAGGTGATAATTCCTCTAGAAATGTAAGTTATTCAAACTGGAATTTTATAAGCTGGGAATAGTGTTTTGCTGGCTGAATGTTCAGGATACTAATAGTATAGAACTTAGAAAACTGGATGGGCCAGTGGTTTGGGGTTTGGGTTAGGAGCTAATGAGAATACTTCATTGGGTCTTAAATTTTATATTTAGGAATAGATTTAATGTTTGTATTATTTTACCTTGCAGTTCTTTCTGTGTTTATTTCTACCAATGATATATGTTTTGGGCTGTAATTTTCTAGAGGGCAGAAACCATATGTAATTTTTCATTGTATTTTCCCCAATAAAGCATTATACCCAGCTGAGTACTAAATGTAAGATTTTTTTTAAAATTGTGGTATCAGTAAGGAAGCTATGTTTATTAACTGGTTATTTACTGTGGGTCCATTAATGTCTATGTATATTGTGTTATTGGTAGAGCATGATCACTTCTCTTCTTGAACTTTAAAAAAAAAAAATCAGTTTAGTTAGCATTGAATCTTATAGACCAACTTCAAATTATAACCAAGGTGGAGCATCCCTCGGGGGGGTAGTGTGATTGCGTGAGGAAACTGGGATTTAGAAGAGCTGGCCTCCAATGCCAAATTAAGCAGATAGGAACGTACTAATAGGCTTATAATTTAACTTCTTTGAGCTTAAAGGTCAATTATTATCCAAATGTGGAATCCCATTGATGCTGAGAGAAAACTCAGAATGGTGAAGGATTATTCTGTGTAAAACAAAGATTAAGATTTCTCAAGTTAAAATGAGAGTTAGGGAGGAGAGGTCTGACATTCCAAAAGGATAAGCAACTCTTAGCTTGTGTACTAACTGCTTCTTATAGCTCCTTTTCTCTCTCTACTCTTCCCCACTCAAGGTTCTTAAGGGTATGTGTTCATCCATTCTGTCGCTGGCTGAGAGTTTTCCTCACTCTCTAGACCAGAGTATAATTTCATTTGGCAGTCTCCTATACAAATATGCATTTAAGTTTTTTGACACGTACTGCCAGCAGGTATGTTGAAACACTTATTTTGGCAAGGAGGGAACGGGGAAGGGAAAATAATCTGATGTTTATTTCTTGTTGGTTGGACCTTACTGAAGGGGAAGGAACTCTGAACTGGATCTCAGGAAAGTTCAATCCTAGTCCCAGCTTTGATGAAATGAAGAGACTTGACTGGTGGATCTAACTCTTTGTTCTGAGCTCTAAAATTCTGTCTGAAATTAAGATCCAGATCCAGTTTATGTCAAAACATGAGACACTTTGTTGTTGTTGTTGTTGTTGTTGTTGTTGTTGTTGAGACACAGTTTCGCTCTTGTTGCCCAGGGTAGAGTGCAGTGGCACAGTCTTGGCTCACTACAACCTCCACCTCCCGGATTCAAGCGATTCTCCTGTCTCATCCTCCTGAGTAGCTGGGATTACAGGCGCGCACCACCAGGCCTGGCTAATTTTTTGTATTTTTGGTAGAGACAGGGTTTCACCATGTTGGCCAGGCTGGTCTCGAACTCCTGACCTCAGGTGATCCACCCGCCTCAGCCTCCCAAAGTGCTGGGATTACAGGCATGAGCCATCGTGCTGGGCCGAGACGCATTTTAATAGCATATATCCAGAGAGGGAGGACTGTATTTGTGGAAGATGTTTATGAAAGCAAGTAAAGAACAGTGTCTTATTTTGTATTTTTACATATATTCTTCCTATTATTAACAATGTTAAAATGCATTTGAATGGAATTTTTAAAATGAAGATTTGTAAAAAAAATTTTTTTTAAATTTAAGGTAGAGCAACAGTTGCAGCTGACATGAGGTAGCTGTTGCAGTTGAGAATGTAATTCTGTTATGACTATGATGGAGTGATGGTATAAAGGGAGAATGGCATCCAAGACATTTTTGAACCCTCTTAATGTCTTAGAGACACTATCATGATCCATGTTTGCTTGGAAACATGCAAGTCTAGCCTGTACTATATAGAGAAAACTTTTAAAGCTTTTAGCTCCTTGAGTGCCATCTTTTTGAGAAATTTCAACTGATCTCGTACAACCTCAACTTAAAGGGTAAAATTTAACCCATGTGGGAACAAGAAAGAGGAAAACTATGCCAAAGAGCAAAATCAGGAGGGCTTAGGTAGTGTTCACCGATAAAATATGGGAAATAGGTCAAGACGGGATGGTAAAGTTACACTGGCATATTCCTAAATCTCCTGAAGCCAACATTAATGAAAACTAGATAATAGATGATGGGATTGGGTTGATTGTGATTTTAACAAAGTAGAGATTGGAGAGGCCTCGGGGGTGAATTCTCTTTGAATGGCCATCCCATATTTTGTTTTACATTGTCCTATTGACTCTCCTCTGTATAGGAGGTGGTTGGTGCCTTAGTGACGCATATCTGCAGTGGGAATAAAGCTGAAGTTGATACTGCGTTAGATGTCCTCCTAGAGTTGGTAGTGTTAAACCCGTCTGCTATGATGATGAATGCTGTCTTTGTAAAGGCATCTTATTGGCTTCTTGTACTTTAGATATCGAATACTATAATTGGTGGGACTGGAGGTGGGACAGAGGTGAAATAATGGGCAAGTAATATAAATAAAAAGTAACTATTCTATCTATGTGTTAATTGATTCAGCAAACACTTCTTTATATCTAACCCACAGACTAAGCTCTACTCTGGGTGCCATGGATGTAAAGTAGGTCCTTGCCTTTGATGTTAAAGACTAAGACACCTAAGCAATTTACTATAAATACAGCAAGGTGAATTCTTCGGTAAAGTACTATAGATACAACAGAGCAAGAATAATTAAATTTAGCCTGGGAAGCTGGAGAATTCTTCAAAGAGACTATTTGAGTGATTGCTGAAGGATGGGAATGACTGACAAGAGAAAGTATGGGAAGTGCGTTCTAGGCAGAGAAGAGATTGAGCAGAAGCAAACTGGTGCCCAAGTCAATAGTGTGACAGAGGAATGAGAAGCAAACAAGCATGACTGGAGAATAGGATATATATGGAGAAGAGTGATGGGAGGCAAGGCTGGTAAGACATAGGACAGGCCCATATTGCAAAGAGTCTCAACATGCTAAAGAGTTTCAACTTTATTTTCTAGACAATAGGGAGCTATTAGCAGTTTTTACACAGAGTTGACCGAATCTGGTCAGCATTCAGAGATAACTCAGTAGCTATGTGATGGGCGGATTGGAGACCACTGAAAGGGTAAGGGAGTGAGAGTAAGGGCCAGATTTTGGTCATGGCAATGTGGAAGAAATGATGGCTTAGGAGACAATTTGGTGTTAGAATTAACATGACTTGGTGACTGTTAAGAATATGTGGCAATAAGAAACAAGAAAACTAGGTCTGAGTTTTTCATCTTAGGAAACTAGGTGAATGGTTGTGCCATTTCCTGAGACCAGGAGGGGAGTGCGTCTTCTGTAGGAAGTATGATGAGTTCATTGTGGGATAGCCATGTGTAGATGGTTAGTGGATAGTTGGAAATTCTGGTTTGGAACCCTGTGGGGCACCCTTTGGTGGAAGATTTAGTTTGGGTATTCAGAACCATATAAATGTGAGCTCTACTGAGGCAATTTTGAGGCAGAAGACCATAGAAGCTTAGAAGAGCATAGACATTTTGAGAAGGTTAAAGTTTAAGTGGCAGATGAAAGCAAATGTCCGTAGAAGGAAAATGAGAAAACTAGAAGATGAATAATGTGAGCTTGAAGGATGTCAGGTAGCAAAAGCGCAGGAATGAGTTTCAAGAGTGAGGGATTTATCTCCAGTGTTGGACACTGTAGAGGTTGAAGATGGAGCAGAGGCTATTGGCTTTGGCAATTAGGATACCTCTGGTAACCTCTGAGAGAACAGTGTTAATTGAATTATAAGGGTGGAAGTCAGACAGCAGTAACTTGAAGACTTGGGGAACAGAGTCAATGTCGAGAAGCATCCAGGAGAGAATAAGAAAAGTAGCTTGAGAGAGAAGCTGGTTGCAAGGGAGATGTTTTTTAGATGAGGAGGTTTGAGATTGCTTGTAGGCTGAGAGAAAGGATTCAATAGAGAGGAAGAAATAGAAAAGTTTCAAAATTAATTAGAAGTTTACAAAACTGTTTTATTACTTTATCCTCAGACAAACCATGAAAGGTAGTATAGCTATTATTATCACCATGTTACAGATGAGAAAAGCTGAGACATTTCCCACGGTCACAAAGTAAATAGTTTCCTTGTGACTCCTTCCAGATCTGTAGAGAAAGGAGAAATAATTCATGGAGTAGAAGCTGGGAAGGGATGATATGGCAAGGAATAGGGTAAAGACATAACTTTTGGTAGAATATTGTTTTCACTGAAAAAGGGGGAAAGGTGGAGGTAAGGAATACTGAGAACTGGGAGGTGCATTAGAATGACTAAGCAGTAGATGATTAAAGCCCGGAATTGTGCTTCTGAGTGAAGAGGATAAAGAAAACTTTATCTTTCCTGATAGTTAGTTCCTAGTCTCTGATAATAAGAGATTTAGAAAGCTGGAAGAGTTTCTCAGTTTATATCCAGTCTATCAAACCTTTGGGCTCTGAGCATAGCTTTTAGAACTTGAGCTTTTAAGGCAGCTAAAAAGTTTTAGATACCTGGCTATCTGATATGTGTGCCTCTCTTATAGGGATTTTAATTTTTTGATTTTTAAGGGAAAAATGTTAGCTGCCAGCCTTATTGTTGGCATCATCTTTTCTGCAGGGCATTTTAGATTATCTGGATAACATATCTCCTCAGCAAATACGAAAACTCTTCAATGCTCTCAGCACACTGGCATTTGGCAAACAGAATGAAGCCAGCAGTCACATCCAGGTAAGAGGCAATATGTTGGGGAAGATTTGTTTTTTTTTTGGAATCTCCCTCTGTCGCCCAGGCTAGAGTGCAGTACATGATCTTGGCTCACTGCATCCTCCACCTCCCGGGTTGACACGATTGTCCTGCCTCAGCCTCCCGAGTAGCTGGGACTACAGGCATGCACCACCATGCCCAGCTAATTTTTTTGTATTTTTAGTAGAGAAGGGGTTTCACCATGTTAGCCAGGATGGTCTCGATCTCCTGACCTCATGATCTGCCTGCCTCGGCCTCCCAAAGTGCTGGGATTACAGGCATGAGCCACCGCACCTGGACTTTTTTGTATGTGTGTGATATGGAGTCTAGCTCTGTCACCTGCACTGGAGTGCAGTGGCATGCTCTTGGCTCAGTGCAACCTCCACCTCCTGGGTTCAAGCAATTCTCCTGCCTCAGCCTCCCGAGTAGCTGGGACTACAGGCACATGCCGCCACACCTGGCTAATTTTTGTATTTTTAGTATTTCGTATTTTTAAACCTCTTTGCTTGAAATTTGCTGGAAAAAAAAAAAACACAAGCAAATGATAGATTTGCCTGTGTGTAGTAGTGGAAATGGAGTAATAGCCATAGTTCCAGCATTTTTTTATTCTTACCACAAATATTAAGTACCTATCCTGTGTCAGGCACTGATACATGAGATCCTCTGCCCTCGAAAAGCTTTGTTTATTAGGGAAGAGATGGGTCTGTGATCAGATAACCATGAAACTGTTCAGGTTCCGAGTGCAGTGGGGACACAGAATTGCCTTGTTTCCTAAGAAACATCTCCATCTAATGTGAACTTCACGTGGGCTTGCTTTAGTTTGTGGACACCATTCACTGAAAAAGCCAGGCTGTAATCCCAGCACTTTGGGAGGCCAAGGTAGGCGAGTCACATGCATCCAGGAGTCTGAGACCAGCCTGGGCACCATGGTGAAACCCTGTCTCTACAAAAACATACAAAAATTAGCGAGGTGTGGTGGCACACACCCGTAATCCTAGCTACTCAGGAGGCTGAGGTGGGAGGATCCATTGAGCCCTGGTTGTTGAGGCTACAGTGAGCCATGATTGTGCCACTGCACTCCAGCCTGGGCAAGAGAATGAGACTCTATCTCTAAATAAATAAATTAAACAAAAGGAAGAGATTAGATTGGAATCATAACTTGTAACTCGTTTGTATCTTTAGTGCTATCTTAAGGCAGTAATTCATACTGGACTGTGACTTTGAACAACCAGTATATTTTTTATCTCCCCCCACCCCCACCTTTCTTGAGTCTCCAGTCAACACATTTTTTTAATTAAAAATAATTCTGGACTAGGTAATATACATGTGTCATATAAAATTCAAAACATATAGAAGGGTATCCAGTGAAAAATAACTCTCACTTCTCAGTCCTCTAGGCACCTGGTTTGTCTCCCACAGGGGCAATCACTTTATAACCTTCTGAGATGTTCTGAGAATTTACAAATTTGTATTTACCTGTAGTTTCCTTTCCCCTTTTGTTCTACATCTTACCTTTTGCATTTAGCAATTTATTTTGGAGATTGCTTCAAATCAGTAATAAAAATCCACTTCACTATTTTATTTTATTTTTGAATTTTGATAAAATATACATAACATAAAATATACCATTTAAATTGTTTTTAAGGATACAATTTAGTAGCAGTAAGTATATTCACAATGTTATACAACCATTATCACTATCCTTTTCTAGAACTTTCTGATCATCCCAAACAAACTTTGTGCCCATTAGGCAATAATTCGCCATCTTTCTGTCCCCACCTCCTAATAATCACTAATCACATTCTGTCTATGGATTTGTTCAAATATTTGAGTCCCTGTTTTCAGTTCTTTAGGGTATATATATCTAAGAGTGGAATTGCTGGATCATATGATGACCATATGTTTACCATTTTGAGGAACCACCAAACTGCTTTCCATAGCAGCTGCACAATATTACATTCCCACCAACAATGCATGTAGGCTCCAATTTCTCCATATCCTGGCCAACATTTATTTTCCATTCTTAAAAAAATTTCTTTTAATTTTTATTAACTAATTTATTTATTAATAAATAAAAATATATATATTTTTAGATAGGGTCTTGCTCTGTCACCCAGGCTGCAGTGCAGTGGTGTGATCATAGTTCACTGCAGCCTCAAACTCCTGGGCTCAAGCAGTCTTCCCGCCTCAGCCTCCTGAGTACCTGGGACAACAGGTACCTGCCATGTCGCTTGGCCCTATTTTTTAATTATAATCATCCCGACGTGTACGAAGTGGTATCTCATTGTGGTTTGATTTGCATTTCCTAATGACTAATGATGTTAAGCATCTTTTCACATACTTCTTGGCCATTTGTATATTTTTGTAGAAATGTCTATTCAAGTCCTTTACCCATTTTTGTTTGTTTTGTTTTAGAGATGGGGTCTCACTCTGTCACACACATTGGAGTGCAGTGGTGTGATCTTGGCTCACTGCAACCTCCACCTCCCAGGCTCAAGCGATCCTCCCATGTCAGCCTCCTGAGTAGCTGGGACCACAGGTGCGTGCACCACCGTGCCCAGCTAATTTTTTGCAATTTTGGTAGACATGAGGTTTCGTCATGTTACCCAGGCTGGTCTCAAACTCTTGAGCTCAGGAGATCCACCCGCCTCTGCCTCTGAAAGTGCTGGCATTACAGGCACGAGCCACTGTGCTCAGCCCTTTGCCCATTTTTAAACTGGGTTTTTGCTGTTGTTGAGGTATAGGAGTTATTTGTATATTCTGGATATTGATCTCTTATCAGATATATGATTTGCAAATATTTTCTCCCATTCTATGGGTTTTCACTCCCCTCATAGTGTCCTTTGATGCACAAAAGTATTTAGTTTCAATAAAGTCAAATTTATCTACTTTTTTTTTTTGAGATGGAGTCTTGCTCTGTCGCCCAGGCTGGAGTGCAGTGGCGCAATCTCAGCTCACTGCAATCTCTGCCTCCCGGGTTCAAGCGATTCTCCTGCCTCAGCCTCCTGAGTAGATGGGACTACAGGTGCATGCTACCACGCCCAATTAATTTTTGTATTTTTAGTAGAAATGGGGTTTCACTCTGTTGGCCAAGATGGTCTCGATCTCTTGACCTTGTGATTTGCCTGCCTTGGCCTCCCAAAGTGCTGTGATTACAGATGTGAGCCACTGCACCTGGCCTTATCTATTTTTTTTTTTCATCTGTGGTTTTCTTTTTAATTATCTTAAGTCTTATGATCACACATAATGTTAAAATTTGTGTATATCTCCTCTACTTTAATCCTTTTAAGATGGCAAAAGCACCATTCCCAATCACAAATACACAGCAGTTTTACAGTTTTATGTTTCTGAATGGCTCTTTAAAGACAATCCTAAATTATAACTTAGTTTGAGTTCGATTGTAAAGAATTCAAGAGTGAAGTTTAACTTGCTACTATTTTAAAAGCATGTGACCTTATAGATCATGTATAAAATGTGAGAAGTGTTAAATAATCTTTGATATTACACATAAACCACACTAAAATGCCTTTCAATAAGTTAAAGGCACCATTTTAAATACAGGGAATTCTAATTAGATTGGCATAGTTAAGGCCAAAAATATAAACGAGACATTGCTACCTTATTTATCTCCAACCCTTGCCTTTAAGAGGCGAATGAACACAAAACACAGGTGAGTCTTCCTTGGTTCTAAGACAGTGAAGGAATTTCCCCAGTATTTAAATATATTCACATACCCAGTTATATAAATCTAAATATAAAACCAATCTCCATTAAGTTTTTTGTTTTGTTTTGTTTGTTTGTTTGTTTGTTTTGAGACAGGGTCTTGCCGTCGCCCAGGCTACAGTGCAGTGGCATGATCTCGGCTCACTACAAACTCTGCCTTCTAGGTTCAAGCAATTCTCCTGTCTCAGCATCCCTAGTAGCAGGGATTACAGGTGCCCACCACCATGCTTAGCTAATTTTTGTATTTTTAGTAGAGACAGAGTTTCACCTGATGTTGACCAGGCTGGTCCCGAACTCTTGACCTCAAGTGATCTGCCCACCTCGGCTTCCCAAAATGCTGGGATTACAGGTGTAAGCTACTGTGCTTGGCCTCCATTAAGTTTTAAGATAGGACTCACCATCTTTGTGAAAAGTTGAACATTGCTAAGGAAGTCTCATCTTATCTTTGGAAGGGGTAAACAGTGATAGCATTTACTGAATTGGAATTACTATTAAAATTCAAAAACAACATATTCATTTAACCACAAGCCAGCCTTAGTTTTAAACCACGACTGCCCAACAAAATATTCTGTCAGTCATTCATGATCTGAATTCCTGTGTATGAGATCTATTAAAGTATGGAACACATAAAAAAGTCATGAGACATTTGTTTTGTAATAAATAAGGCAGTGGCCAACTATTACTCATTAGTAACTTTTTTGAGATAACCTATCAAGTCTGCCCTTTCTGCCTTCTTAATGCCGGCAAAGATCGTTTTTCTTCCAGGGATGTACTTCTTGGGATTCTCCAAATACTCCATCAGTTTATCCTGTCCCCAGGTGATGCCTTTGTTCTTCTTGGCGTCTGTGTAAGAGAATCCAATGGCCTGACCTGTCTTCCGCGCGAAGAGACCATGGAGATTAGGCCCAGTCTTGTGCTTGCCTCCCTTTTCTACCGTGTGGCACTGGGCACACTTCTTAACAAAAATCTTCTTACCTTTCTCAACATCACCCATATTTAATTCTCTTTATCGTCACTGGCGCCACGAAGGTTGCCACTCCAAAGCTGTACGACCCACTCTCTATCAATTTTTTTTCCTGTGTTGCTTGTCCTTTTGGTTGTCATGCTTAAGATACCATTGCAGAATCCAAGGTCATGAAGGTTTTCTTTTATTTTCTTCTAAGAGAAAGTTTTAGCTCTTAAATTCAGGTCTTTGATCCACTTTGTGTTGATTTTTGTATATAGCATATTTTAATATTTTAAGGATTTAACTTCATTCTTTTGCAGATGGATATCCAGTTTTTCCAGTGCCATTTGTTGAAAAGATGGTCCTTTCACCATTGAAATGATTTTGGAACCCTTGTCAAAAATCAATTTGTCACATATATGAAGGCTTATCTTTGAACTCTGTGTTCTGTTTCATTGGTCTATATGTCTGTCCTGCCATCACCACACTGTTTTGACTACTGTAGCTTTGTATTAATATTGAAATCAGGAAGTGTGAGCCCTCCAACTTTGTTCTTTTTCAAGGTTTTGGCAGTTTGGGGTCCCGTGAAATTCCATGTGAATTTTGGTGTGGATCTTTCTATTTCTGCAAAAACATGTTGTGGGACTTTGATAAGGATTGCACTGAATCACTTTGAATGGTATTGTCATCTTAACAATATTGAGTGTCTTCCAGTCCACAAAGACAATAGCTCTTTCTGTTTACTTATGTCTTTAGTTTTTCAGCAATGTTTATTTATTTTATTTTATTTTGAGACAGTGTCTGGCTCTGTCACCCAGGCTAGAGTACAGTGATGTGATCTTAGCTCTGTATTCTTGACTTCCCAGGCTCAGGTGATGCTCCCACCCCAGCTTCCGAGTAGCTGGGACCACAGGCATGCACCACCACGGCTGGCTAATTTTTGTGTTTTCTATAGAGATGAGGTTTTGCCATGTTACTCAGGCTGGTCTTGAACTCCTGGGTTCAAGCAATCTACCTGCCTCAGCCTCCCAAAGTGTTAGGATGACAGGCATGAGCCACTGCGGCTAGCCTTGCCTCCATGTTTAAATCTATACCTAAGTATTTTATTATAATTCATTATTTTAGCTGAGCAGTCATCAACATTATGATAATTTTCATATCCTTATAGAAATAATAACAATAAAAGCTGTTATTATTGAATGTCTATCATATGCCAGACACTGTTCTAGAAGTTTTTTCATAATTTACCTCTAATCCTTAAAACAACTTTCCCCATTTCACAGATGTAAAAATTAAAACTTGGAGAGATGAAATGACTTGCTAAAGACACACAGGGCTGGGTGTGGTGGCTCACCCCTATAATCCCAGCACTTTGGAAGGCTGAGGTGGGTGGTTCACCTGAGGTCAGGAGTTCAAGACCAGGCTGGCCAACATGGTAAAACCCCGTCTCTACTAAAAATACAAAATTAGCCAGGTGTGGTGCCAGGCACCTGTCATCCCAGCTACCCAGGAGGTTGAGGGAGGAGAACCGCTTGAACTCAGGAGGTGGAGGTTGCAGTGAGCCAAGATTGCGCCATTGCACTCTAGCCTGGACAACAAGAGCAAAACTCCGTCTCAAAAAAACAAAACAAAACAAAACAAAACAGTAAACGATAGACCCCTTTATAGTCTAGCTGCATGGCTCAATATCCATACCATACCTTCTTTTGCTGTGCAATTCCAGCATTATCGTCTTTCTTCATTATCTCACTGCAGGATGACATGCACTTGGTAATAAGAAAGCAGCTCTCTAGCACCGTATTCAAGTACAAACTCTTTGGGATTTTTGGTGCTGTCATCATAGATGGCATCATGGCAGCAGACAGGTACACATGGAGATTCTGACTTCCATGGTTTAAGATGAGTTAATCTTGCCAGCTAACAGTGTTACATCGCATAGACATCATTTTAACGGTAGACGTTACAACTGTAAGAGAAATGAGCAGGCCGGACTCGGTGGCTCACGCCTGTAATCCCAACATTTTGTGAGGCCAAGGTGAGCTGATCACCTGAGGTCAGGAGTTCAAGACCAGCCTGACCAACATGAAGAAACCCAGTCTCTACTAAAAATACAAAATTAGCTGGGTGTGGTGGCGCATGCCGGTAATCTCAGCTACTCGGGAGGCTGAGGCAGGAGAATCGCTTGAACCTGGGAGACGGAGGTTGCGGTGAGCCAAGATGACGCCATTGCACTCCAGCCTGGGCAACAAGAGCGAAACTCTGTCTCAAAAAAAAAAAAAAAGTAAAAAAGAGAAAAGAAAAATATATATAAGAGAACAATATTTTGCTCTAATCTGTATTTTGTATGGACAAAATAAATACTCTTTTCTCCCTTCATGTACTTTTATCTTTACTGTACCCTAGGGAAGTCAGAATACTTAAACTTATTGGCAATTGTTATAAAATATTACAAAAGTGAAATTAAAATTATTTGCTTTTAGAAGCGCATCATCTAGTTTGACCCAAGAGAGAGCCAACCTGAGCGATGAGCAGTGCACACACGTTAGTTCTTCTCTAAAACTAATAAAAAATAAAAAAAATAAAAGTTAGCCCGGCGTGGTGGCAGGCATCTGTAATCCCAGCTGCTAGGGTGGCTGAGGCAGAGAATTGCTTGAACCCGGGAGGCGGAGCTTGCAGTGAGCCGAGATCACACCACTGCACTCCAGCCTGGGCGACAGAGCAAGATTCTGTCTCAAAAAAAGGCAAAAAAAAAAAAGTTTTCCTGAACTCCTATCTTTGTGATTTTATGATACTTGGAAACTACTGGCTTGGGTCGCACTTACTTTGTTTGAGATGGAGTCTCAACTCTGTCTCCCAGGCTGGAGTGCAGTGGTGCCTCCTGGGTTCAAGCGATTCTCCTGCCTCAGCCTTCCGAGGAGCTGGGATCACAGGCATGCACTATCATGCCCAGCTAATTCTTGTATTTTTAGTAGAGACGGGGTTTCACCATGTCGGGGTTTCGCCATGTTGGTCAGGCTGATCTCAAACTCCTGATCTCAGGTGATCCGCCCCCTTCAGCCTCCCAAAGCCCTGGGATTACAGAGGTGAGCCACCACTCCCAGGTCGGTTGCATTTATTTCTATATCCATTTAATCTCTCCAATTAAATTATAAAGTCTTAGCAAGAAAGATGTGCCATATCTATTGAATAACACTTTGGTTGAAGCATGGGAACAAATAAGTGTATAACTGGAAAGTGGGACATAAAGCTAGTTCAGGCAGGGCACGGTGGCTCACACCCGTAATCCCAGTACTTTGGGAGGCTGAGGCAGGAGGATCACTTGAGATAAGCAGTTTGAGACCAGCCTGGCCAACATGGTGAAATCCCATCTCTAATGAAAGTAAAAAAAAATTACCCATGCATGGAGGCAGGTGCCTGTAATCCCAGCTACTCAGGAGGCTGGGACAAGAGAATTTCTTGAATCCGGGAAGTGGAGGTTGCTTTGAGCCAAGATCACACCACTATACTCCAGCCTGGACGACAGAGCGAGACTCTATCTCAAAAGGAAAAAAGAAAAAGCTAGTTGAGAGAGAAAACAGAGAGCCTTGCATGCAAAACAATACATTTTTATTTCATTCTTTAGGCAGAGGTATTCCTTAAGGGTTTCTTAGCATGGAAATGGCAAAAATCAAAGCTTTGCTTTAGAAAAATTAATCTGGCTGCAGTGTCTGACAGATTGGAAAAGGGATGATATCGGAAAGAGACAGACGGGTCAGAACATTCAGGAAAACTTCAAGTGAGAAGTAGAGCTTTGCCAGTAAAATCAGAAAGTGAAAAAAACAGTCTTGAATGGGGCGAATGGAGTTTAGGAAGGATTGGCAGCCCAAGGTTTAAACCATTCTTCCTCTTTGCTCCAGGTGACCTCCTTGTTGCAGTTGGTTCATTCCTGCAGTGAGCAGTCTCCTCAGGCCTCTGCACTTTACTGTGATGAATTTGCCAACCTGATCCAACAAGAAAAGCTGGATCCAAAAGCCCTGGTAAAGCCAATTGTCTTTTCTTAAAGCAATAAAGCATGAGAGCTGCTTTACTACACTCTTCAGGTCTTTCTGTTGCAGTGTGAAAATAGATCATCCTGTGACCTCTCCTAAATTCTAACTGCGAAAGGCTTTTCTGCCCTACCCTGTCTCAGGGCTCTTCTCTGAGGCTTCCTTCACTTAATAACAATAGTAAAGAAGAGATTGACTTTGTTAATGATGATGGCTACTATCTGTCTGAGAGCCCTATTCTATGCTAGGCCTTGTGCTAAGTGCTTTTTATGCACTCTCTCTTTTCTACTTCACAAAAATGAGATATTTATTGTTACTTCCTTTTTAGAAATGAGAGAACTGAGACTTAGAAAGGTTAAGAGTAATTTATCTAGGGCTCTACAGCAAGTACACCCTGCACTGCCCTTTTTGTTTGTTTGCTTCCTGAAGGAACGTGTTGGGCATACCATCTGCAGTGATTTCCAGGATGCCTTCGTAGTGGACTCCTGTGTTGTTCCGGAAGGGTAGGTATTGTTTACCTGCTGGCTTGGTTGTACTGGTGAAGTTACATCAATTCTGTCAGTAGCTGATACAAACTTCAGAATACCCTTGACCTCAGCCACAGCTGCCCAGTCCCACAGCTTCTTTCCTCCCAACCCCAGTACCCCTGCACCCTTAGCTCCAAAATTCCTAAAAGTTTCACTGTTTGTTCTTCTGTTTCTAATTTCTCCCCATGATGTTGTATTTGAAATTGGTTTGCTCTAGTGGTTTTCCCTGTAGCCTTGTGTATTCCTGAGCTGCAGCATCAGATTCTGGTTTTTCTCCGCAGTGACTTTCCATTTCCTGTGAAAGCGCTGTACGGACTGGAAGAACACAACACTCAGGATGGGATCGCCATCAACCCCCTGCCGCTGCTGTTTTCTCAGGACTTTGCAAAAGATGGGGGTCCGGTGACTCCACAGGAATCAGGCCAAAAGTCAGTATAGTTTTTCTTTTCTAAACCTGTTAGTGTTTTGAATGTTCATGGGGAATTCCACAGTTCTTGGTGGAGAACTCGAGTCAAAAAAGTTTCTCTCGGGACAAATGGTATTTGGAGAGCTTAGGGAGGATGCGGCAGATTCCTTGGTTTTTCTTGGACCCTTGGCTTGAGATTTATATTGCCTTGTGTGAGCCAACAGATATTCTGAGATTACTTTCTCAGCCTGATATCTGGACCCCGCTGTGCCTTGCAGTGCAGCTCCAGAGACTAAATGTTCTCTTCTTCTACTGCAGGTTGTCCGCCCCGCTGGAGGTGGCCACTATCAAGCCGCTTGGCCTGGACAAGCAGCAGTGCTCCCAGTAGGCGGTGGTGCAGGCCCGCCTGACCCAGCCTGCCGGCCTCACCAGCATCATCTTCACAGAGGACATCAGTAAGGGCTGAGTGCCCTTACAGGCATAAGCCACCTTGCTCAGCCTATTTGTAAGGTTTTTGATACATGGGACTGTATTGCTTTCCAACAAAACAATGTTAACAATGTACAAGTACCTGGAGAAGAGTCAGAAAAATGTTGTATCCTGCTGCTATGCTTACATTTCAGAATTCCCCAGGTAATGCCATTTACGTACCTTTTTTATGTAGTAAGTAAAAAACATCTGTATGAGTGTCCATGAGCCCCTTCTACAATATGCTTGATAATCATATAAATATACCATCATAGGCTGGGCGCAATGGCTCACACCTGTAATCCTAGCACTTTGGGAGGCCAAGGTAGGAGGATTACTTGAGCCCAGGAGTATAAGACCAGCCTAGGCAACAAAGCAAGACCTTGACTCTATAAAAAGTTTTTAAAAATTAGCCAGACATGGTGGTGTATGCATGCCTATGGTCCCAAATACTAGGGAGGCCAAGGCAGGAGAATCATTTGACCCCGGGAGCCACTGCACTCCAGCCTGGGCAACAAATTGAGCCCCTATCTCAAAAGAAACAAAAATAAACAAAACCACCAGCGTAATCCCTAAGCTCAGTGAAGGGACAGGGCTCTCATCTTTGGGATGGGAACTCATCATACTATAACCCTTGTCACTTCACTGAATGGTTATACCCTGAATGAAACTAAGTTTTTCTGGAGTTTTCTTTGCCCACAGCTTTAAATGCTGGTGCCCTGCATTTAAAAAGCCAGACCAGGTGGTAACAAGGCCCCCACAGCCCTTCCTTTCTGGTAGTCCCTGTTAACTGTCAGTGGGGCCATGTGCGAGGCAGCTGCTTGGCGTCTGAGGGTGAAGCTGGTGGTCGCTGTGGTCTTTGCCAAAGTGTAAGCCTGCAAGGCTTGGAGGTGGAGCCAGGGGCAGGTGCTGTCTTCAGTGCTGACTTCTCCCTGGGGTTCCTCCAGCCACAGGCCAGGTCCTGCGCTGTGATGCCATCGTGGACCTCATCCATGACATCCAGATCGTCTCCACCACCCGCGAGCTCTACCTGGAGGACTCCCCCATAGAGCTGAGGATCCAGGCCCTGGACTCCGAGGGTGAGGACGTCCCCCTGTCTGTTTGTCCTCTGTAGCCCATGCTGGATCGTCCCTCTACTATGAACCTGGCCTCTCTGTGTTTCCCACTCCTCTGGCATCCAACCCTGCAGGTTCCCTGGAGGGCAGCTTCAGTCAGGGAGGTGAAGTTGCTGCTGGCGGAGGTGCTGAAGAGGCAGAACCCACCCGTGAGGTGGGCCCCAAGCCCTCGGTAGCATCAAGCCATGGCCACTCCTGGCGCTCAGGGGTCCCTGCAGCAGGGCCTGTGTGCTCAGAGCTGTGGCGGACCCCGGAGCCAGACCCTGCTGGTCACAGTGCTGGTCCTTGGAGCAGCACATCTTGGGGAAGCCAAGATTCTCAGTCACAATGGGAGGCTGGGAGATGCTGGCTGGGGCCGTGCCTCCTGCTCGGGCTCTGGGGGCAGGTTTTGCTTCCTGGTCCAGACCTCAGAGCCAGTGTGCCAGGCAGGGAAGGTCCTTTTATTCTGGAGGAGACTGAAGCATGGAGTGGGGTGAGATGCAGGGCGTACAGGGTCCTGTCTGTCAGCGTGGGATTCACCTTTCTTCTCAAAGCAGAGGGAAGCTGAAGAAAGGGTGGTGCAGGAGGTGATGGGATCCTGTCTACAGGGTTTGTGGGGAGTATAAGCTGTTCTTGGGAGCAGAATGAGCAAAGTTTGAGTCCACCTTGCGGCCAGGCATTCTTAGGGGCACTTCACACACCCTAGCTCATTTCCTGTATGGCGACTGGACGATGCACAGAGAATGAACACAGCCACACACTCACCTGAGTGTGCACACACACAGAACAGATATGGAGCTAATATGCAGCCAAGCCTAGCCCCAGAGTTTTCCCTCCTGGGCAGAGGGTGGCAAGCTTCTGTGGAGGCTGGATGTAAATATTGTGGGCTTTCCTGGCCATATGGTGTCTGTGGCAACTATTCAGCTCTGCCATCGTCCCACTAAAGCAGCCTTAGATGATGTGGAAATGAATGGGTATGGCTATGTTCTAATAAAACTTTATTTATAGAAATAGGTGACTACATTTGGCCCAGGGGCTGTAGTTTGCAATCCCTGTTCATGACCACTCTATTTCCTGCCTTAAGTCACTTTTTAAAAAATAGGTGGTTATTTTTATCGACATTTATATCACATGAAATTCACCCATTTTAAGGATACGATTCAGCATTTCTTGTTAGATTCATACAGCTGTGCAACCATCACCAGTATCCAGTTTCAGAACATTTTCATCACCCCAAAAGCAAGCTCCATACCCATTGCTTCACTCCCTATTCTCTCCTCTCTCCAGCCCCTGATAACCACGAATCTGCTTTCTGTCTCTTTGCATTTGCCAGTTCTGGACGTTTCATGGGAATAGAATCGCACGGTGCATGCAGCCATATACGTCCATGCATACAGTGTTTTGTGACTGGTGTCTCTCACTGAGCACGTTTTCAAAGTTTATCTGTGTTGTTGCGTGTGTCCATGCTTTGTTCCTTTGTGTTGCTAAATAACTTTCCATTGCAGGGATCAACTGCATTTTGCTTCTCTGGTCATCCTTTGATGGACCCTTGGGTTGTTTTCATATTTTGGTGGTTATGAATAATGGTGCTGTGAGCACTCACATGTGGATGTGTGTTTTCCGGTCTCTTGGGTAGGAGTGGAATTGCTGGGGCATAGGATAACTCTGTGTTTAACTGTTTGGGAGCTGCCAGGTGCTTTCCCAAGTGGCTGCCCCTTCTCAGATTCCCAGGGGCAGTGTGTGAAGGTGCCACCATCTCTATGTCCTGGCCAGCACTTGCTATGGTTCATCCTTGTGGTTCTAGTGAAGCCCCTTTAAAGTCACTTCTTTCCTGAGTGTGCATCTGTTCTCCCCAGGTGGGTGGTGGGGATGTCGGGACTGGGGAGGTGCCTGCTCTGGGCCTTCCCTGGCCACCATCATGCCAGGACATCCCAGCAAGCCTGGATGGTTTCCTCTCACACTGCCCGCTCTCCTGAAGGATTGATGGCACCTGCAGCCAGTTCCAGAGTAGGACGTCATCTGGTCTCCACAGACCGGGTCATTTACTAGCAGCCCATCTCAAGGCCCCACCTTTGCAACAAGGAAATGGTTAACTCCCTTCCTTGTCCACTATGAGGGTATCATGCTTTCTACTTGGTCCTCCTCGCCCCGAAATACCTTGATGAGTATTTTCGTCATCCCTTTTGCCTCTTTTTCTGAGCCTGCAACTTCTTTTCTGGTCAGAGTCTCCACTGTGAAGATGAACTTGACCCTTGGAAGCTTTTAGAGTCTGGCAGTCCCAGAAAGGATGTGCCTTATCTAGACTGATGAGTGTCAAGAAAGATAATTGCTCAATAAACTGTGGTAGATGGCTGCCCCTGGGTGTCAGGCAATGTGCTATTCCCTTGGTAAGTACAGCGTCTTATTGTGCTTATGAATGGTCTGATGCCCACTATATAAATGAGGAAACTGAGGCCCAGAGAGCTTCAGTAACTTGCCCATGGTCACACAGCTCATGGGTGGCTGAGCAGGGGCTGGGATCCAGGATGTGTGACTCTGTCGCCTGAGCTCTTTCCCACTGGACGCACTGCCTGTCTCCTGCTGCATCTTCCTGGACATTGGGGGCTCTCCCCACGTGGCTGGGATCTGCCTTTTTGGTCAGAAGCCACCTGCAGAGTGCCCTCCTCCAGTCAGTGTTGTCATAGCTATTTCCTGGCCCACCCGTGGCTCTTGCATCACAGAACTGGACTAGCTCAGGGTCTGTAAAGATGCCCCCCTCCTCACCTTTCCTTATGCTGCCTCTTCTGCCTGGAGCACCTTCCCCTCCTGAACTCTGCTTTCAGAAGCCATGTGTCCTCTAGCATTGCCTCTCAGGTGTCCCCTCCTCCAGGGAGCCCTCCTTGGCTGCCCAAGGTGGGACTTGTTCTTCCCTTCAGTGTCCCTCAGCTCTTCAGTGGCCCCTGCCCTGGGGCACAGGGCATTTTCTACTGTGGCTTGTCAAGGTCAGCACTAGGAGGACAGAACTAGGATCAGTAAATTCTTTTGGACTCTTCTGTGCCTGACACTGGACTTTGGGCCCAGCTGGCATTGGGTAAATGTTTGCTAGGTTGAATTGCCTAACATTTTCCTTCAGCCCTCCTGCAGGACAGGGGAGGTGGGTCCTCTGGAGACCAGACCCCTGGCTTTCCTGGTTAATATCTAAAGTTGGCTGTAGGACTCTGTCTGTTGCACATAGTAGGTACTGATAGCTTCTTGTAGAGTGGAAAAAACAAACTTTGGGCAGAGGTTTCCTGAGAACTTGTCCTGTCTCCTTGCCTCCCTTAGGGGTGCCCACCTGCAGCAGGTCCTGGGAAGGCAAACCGCCTGCCTTGATTTCCCCAGAGCTCACGCAGCTGGGTCACATTAAGGACGGTAACATTAAGATCACGAACTTCGGCTTAGGTACCACATTCCATGAGGGACAGCAGCTGACAGCCCTTTGTGGCACCTACCCCTACCTACATAGCCCCAGAACTCTTCCTGGGC